AGAGTCGAAGTCAAACTTCTAATATGCAGTTTTTCCTGCTGAAAATTGTATGCGTACTATTTCAACTGATGCAGCTAATTAGGTAACTTCAAAGCACACTGTTAAAAGGAGAACCTCAGCAATCGCTGTACATTGCATTTTGAATAATCACTGCTATTTTCAGACATTAGATTAGAAACAGATGCATGATGAAAAAAAATCTCAGCAAACCTGTACTTTTTTATGTGTCTGCCTCAGGTGCTGTCATCCCTTCGCCTTGATCCGTCGACAAGGTTTTGTCGCAGCTACACGTTTGCACAGTGAATCACTGCAGGGCTCGAGTGATAAATCTGGATGGAAACGCTAAAAGGATGGCAATATTAAAATGCTGTCATGTCCTTGTGCTTAATGGACTCATAAATACACAAGCACGTCATAGGCCTCTATTCCCCTGTGAGTGCCTCAGGGCTGCTTTGTGAGCCACGAGTATTTTGTAAGTACTGACACAGCTCCTGGACAAAGGCAGGGTGCATCCCATATGCCCAGCAGTAGCTGCACTACATTAAACCTGACAATACTGTTTACATGCATAGGACTCCCCTAATCGTTAATGATAGGCAAGGAGCAAGCTTATATGAAGTATTTAAGCAGTAGGCAGACAGTGATGAAGGGCTAGCGATCTGACGCCTACACAAGGCAGTATGCAAACTGTCAACAGCCTAGCACAGTTTACTTTAGCTGTGTAATTAAAGTGTGTTCATTGGCTGACCCTGGGAGCCATTTAGCGGTGGCTGTGAGCCGTGGCAGCCGTTACAAGGGCCAACAGTAATTTCCACTTGACACTTGTGACATTGAAGCTAACACCATAGGACAGACGTGGTATATTTGTATTTATCACAGCAGCTGGTGCCTTAACACCGATCCCGAATGGCGAGAAGTATTACATATTTAAAAGATCAGTTTAGCAAAAAATCTAATTTACACAATTCACCTCTCATCCCAAATATAACTGATCAGATAAGCCACGCCTGGTCTCCAAAGTTTGCTTCTTTTGCCTTGGAGCTACAAGGCTAATGCAGCTAAATGGAAGAAAGTACCTGGGATAAATAGGTGTAAAGAAACAATGAGTTCCATATTGGCAGCATAGTTCCCATATATGGACTGTATGGCCTGGGTAGTGAGTGATATGTTTTGAAACAATGTTTACATCTTACTTCAAACTCTTTTACTAAAAAAGTGAGAAAAGTTCAGTGTTTCATGATATGGGCCCTTTAAAGAAATCCACTGGTGTACCACTGATGTAGAGGCTAATAAATACAGACATGACAGTGTTTCCACTCCTCCCACCTCCAAAGATTCTCCATTTTAACAGATTCTAAAACAAAATATTTGATACTGTAATGAATAAACAAGGACAAACAGCACCACTCCTTTCCCTTATTTGATTTCCATAACCTAAATTGTCACTTTAACCAGTGCACAAGGTGCTTCACATCAATAAAATTCACTTATTTGATGCCTTATTTGAATACCTGAAAAAAAAAACAAATGCAAGGATAAGTCCAGATTTCAACAACAATTGCCTCGCCTCCCCTCCCTGCACAGGTTTGTTTCAGATTTCTGGGAAACATGGCTGTTTGTGTTCGTGTTCGTATCATGTTGTTCAGCTTCCTCCAGCATTAGCCAGCTAGCAAAAAACCTAAATTTAAACAGCCGGCACTCATGTATCCACCCTAAAGCACTTGTAGTTTTTCAAATGTTTCTCCTCCCTTTAAGATGCATCATCAAAAGGGGGTTTTCCTCGTCTTTAAACTAGGAAATCATACTCTAGAGACTACTGTGGTATCACTGTAGAAGATAAGTACATTTTTACATGTTTACAACAGTGGGGTACATTTTTCATCTTGGCCAGAGTGCCCCTTTAATAACACAGTTTGGGGAAAGTGTGAGAAGATTCAGATCATGCAGTTTGCACAGTGCTAATTAGGGAGCTATAAGCTTACTTGTTACTTGTTAGCTACATTGGCCAAGTAGCTCCAGTGTGAAACTGAAGAGCAAACTCCAGACACCAAACGTCTTGGCTGATTGAGAACATTCAGGGTAAAGGGGAAAATTGTGTAAATTGGATTTTTTTTGCCAAACTTTTCCATTAACATAAAATAAGCATGACTCAAAACGTGAACACAGATACACAGAGAAATACTAAGGTGAACAAGAAGCTGTCTGAGGAGAAACGATTCTGTGAAGTTATTCTCAAAAAATGATTTTTAGGTTGCCTTTGTTGGCTGAAAGTGGCCAGGTGTGTCACTTTTCTTCTACCATCCTTAATCAGACAGATGGAGGATGGGTGAAAAAAGGAGGCACATACGGCTTAGAACTCATCCCTTTTCCCACTTCCAACTTTGATCTCCCCCTCTCTCTCTTTGCTTCCCTCGCTCTCTCCCTCCAGCTGCTGATTCAGTGCGAGAGTGAGCCGTCGCCGGCGACAACAGCTGCCAGCCTGCCCTCCATCAAGAATGTCACATGGTTCCCTGACAACTGTGACCGAGCGTGCGTCACCACAGCGACAGACATCAGGCGCGAGCCCACACCTACTGTGAAGCGCGGAGGGATGGATGACATGCCGAGCGCCTTTCAATGTCACCTGAAATTGCTACAGGTAAAGATGTGCTCGAGGTGCACCTAACGCATCCCATAACCTAACATTACCATGGCAAAAACTCAAAAGAACAATGACAGTAGGATTCACGTCTTTTCAACTAAAGGATGGCAGAATTCTGCAGCTTTGGCAGGGCCAAAAACTCGCACATGAGCTGTGCACAAAGACACGGAGACAGAAAGATGCTCGCATTGTACGCCATCATGGGTGAAGCACGTTCACCAAAAATGATATGTGCATTGATGCGTGTTAATTGCAAGCTGGCAAAGGCCTGATACCTTATGATTACCAATGAGCCCCTGCTCTGACAAGGAATTCTCACTGAAGTGAGGGAAGATTCTATCACCCTGTTTCAAAGCCTGCGTACGGTGGACAGCCTTCCTTTGGCTAGCCACTGTAAACTCAGTCTTTGAAGTTCACTGAGTTCCAAACATACATTATATATCAGTGGTCTGGGTTTCATTTCAACTTTGGGGACAGCAACAATGCAATGCGCAATGATGAGCCTTGAACTACACTTTCACTACTTTAAGAAATCAAAGAAATCAAAAAGAGTGAGACCCAAATGGATATTTTTACATCTTATTGGGAATGGAAGAGGGCAATTTATCCCTATTCAAACATTAAAGGAGACACGGCCCCCCAATCTATGCCTATGCAAAAAGCATCCTGACGACCCCCTTTTAATCAGTACAGTCAGCTACCTTAACCCTTGGATTTCACAGTTATTGCTGCCATTTAATATCAGCAATAACAAGGAACAGTGGAATTCAATATCAATTATCTCTTTGAAATGTATTGACACACTGGATTAGCAGCATATGAACCAAAGGTCACCATGCCCAATGCCAAAAGTCAGCTAGCGGGGTATAAAGTCCTCCCTACCCCCCCACTCCCAGCTTTGGGCTGTGGAGCAGTGGAACAGCATTCTTTGGAGTGATGATCCAACATCTTTGGGATGAGTTAAAGTGGACATCAGGACTGACCTCACGACTGCTTTTGTTGTTGAATGCAATCAGATCCTCACAGCAATTTTCCAACATCTAGGGGACACTCCCTATTAACACCCTTTCTGTGTGCTGCTGTGTTTTCTATCACTGTATAAAAGATGCACAAGGTTGCCTTTTATTGTTGAATACACTGTGATATTTTCCATTCAGAGTGCAGTTCAGATCGAGCTTATTATTATTTGATTAAATCAAAGTGACCCGATGTGTGACTTATATTCCTATCCATGTGTTTTCAAAAATGTAGCTTATGAGCTAAATTATATAAAATTCTATTAAGTTCCAGCTTTATTACACAGGCTGCCTTAAAATGGAGGTCATTGAACTTCAAATAATACACAGATTTTTGTAGATCATTGAACTAATTATTAGAAGTTTGATTAACTCTACATTTTAAGACAGCCTGGTTACAAATCGTTTTTACTTCTTTACATATTAAATAAAGACAACAACAGAACTGAAAAATTGGATTATTAATGAAGACCAAATTAAATGTTTTTAAATTAAAAGCGTTTAAGGTATCAGCACACTTCATAAAGGGGGTCCTCAATGGCATTGCTTCTGGCACCATTTTGCTAAAGGTGCAGGTGTCTCAATAGTTTTGGACAAATACTGTCTAACTAATCCTCATTCAGGTTTGGAACTATATGGCATTGTAGTCAGGGCACAAGTGTGAAGTATCACAGGTTAAGGTCCTCTAGCCTGGTGTGCTATTTGTGCGTGTGTGCGTGCACCCTTCCCCCTCTTCCCCTGACCGCTTAATCCACAGTCCAAACATCCTCAGCTGGAAAAAAACATGCAGTGGCTCAGCAAGAGGGAGAAAAAAGGCTGAGCAACAAACAGAAAAATAACCCTGGCTGTCTGCCTCTCCTGATATCCGCGTGTGCAGCCTGCGCCCGAGGGCATAGTAACACTCGGCCTCCTGTGGCCATTGAGCTTTTGCTCACTACTTCGTCTACTTCAGTTTTGCCTTGCTTCTCCGCTGCCTTTGTGCCCACACCAAACACTGAGAACTTTTCACTGATCTGCTGTTCCAATCCATCTTTTGATTGCAGCTTGATTAGGCTTGGAGCAGCTTGGACTTAGCAGTAGGAGGGCCCACTTTGGAGCCGAGTGCTAACCTTCGAAGTGCGGTCAAGGTTAGAGCTTCCTCCGGACCTGGCCGACCTTCAGCTCTCAGCAGTGGGCCAGGCGGACGGTCGCGTTTGATGTGATTGGCTCCGGGTGACCGCTGGCCTTCTGCTTGGAGATCATAAGTGCTTTGATTAATGCCTCACCTGGGATATCAGAGTGGACGGGGTTCTGGCAATCTCCCCCCACTGAATGCTCAAACAGTCCTCAGGTAAATGATTAAGTGCCGAGTTCAAAGGCCTGACCCGCGCCACGTCCCCACGGAAACCTTTACTGTCATGAATATTCCATGCATATTCATCTACTTCATCAGCCCTCGCTTTCTTCTCCTTTGATGGCAATCAAAGTCAGCGGGCCGGCCTGCTGTTCCGACCAATATTAAGGAACCGCACCATATGCCACAAAAGGTCATGCCTCGGCTGGACTGTCTTAAAGTTGCGCAAATGGGGATGTTATGAGTTCTCTTCTGATATAAAATGGCAGAGGATGGTGTATTTCTTGGAATGTAAATTTGGAACATCAAAGTGAAAGAGCTGCCCGGATATGTGGTTTGGAGTTTCTTCTTTGTTTGATCACTACAGAACTGTATGGGGTACAGGGTTCCGTTACTTTGGATGACCTTCGAACAACGTAAGCAAAATATCTCTGCATACTCCTGGACTTTGAACAGAATATTGTTCAAAGTTGTATGATTGGAACACATTTTTTGCAATTATTCTTCATGCATGGAAGGACTTTTGGACAAAAGTTTGAACGTATGAAATGGATGAGGGAGATGATGAGATGAGACAGTGTTTCAGAGTCTACTACTACAGAAGGATAATATAAAGAAGATTTTTTTTTAGGGGGCTTATCTTGTATGTGATCTGAAGAGATTTCTTCTGACTTCTAACAACCTTCCAAGACCTGATAAACCACTGAAACTGTCACTGTCAGATAAACAGTACTCAAATCGTTATCTCTGAGAGACAGGAGATATTCAAACTCCGCTCTGGCTTCAGTATCTGAAAAAATTCACAGCCATCCTTCCATAGTGAGAAAACAACTCAGTGCTATGAGTCTGAAAGGATGTGTAGCTGTCAACAAGGCATTACTGAGAAAATGAAAAAATTGCAAATCAAACAAAGAAGCTCCCAGTGTTTTAAGGCCAATGGAGTCCAGATCTCTACATCATTAAATGTGTTTGGAATTACCTGAATCATGAAAAGTAGAAGCAGAACATTTATTTTTTGTTATTTGTTTTGTATTCTGTCTATAAGTGGAGACAGAAGGCTCCAAAACAGCCAGCGTGGAATTATAAAACTGCTTTTAAAATGATATGGTAGACGTCACATGCAGAGGCCACAGTTACCAGTACAAAATCTATATCACTACAAACATTTAAACTCCTGAAACTGTGCAGGTATTGACTCTTCATGTCACCTCTACAACAGTGGTGTAAACAGAGAGCAAAATAAACTAAGAATAAAAACTTTGACAAACGATCACCATTTGACTGGGCTTAATACATACGATAGCTGACAAGGACAACCCTAATGCAAAGAAATGAAGTAAGGACAGGACAAGAGGTGATATGGCTGTGGACGGTTTAATTAGCCATCATAAATGATAGCTTGATGGGTTGAACTGCCCTTGAGTTCCTGCATTGCTGCATGATCCTGTCCCATTTAGTTTGTGATGCAATAATATAAATCATTATGTCATTAAAAGTTCAAGTCCAGTTCAGCCCTTACGTATATCCATACTTACGTAGACTAGAAAAAAATTAAACATGCCTCTTGAGCATGGACCACAACACAGTGGGAAACCCTCAGAGCCTTCTAGGCCTTCAGAAAGGGCTTAACAGTTTTTCTTTAAAATAATTGTAATTGTATTTTTTTGTTAAGTTTATTTTGGGAAAAAGGTTAATTTTTTGAACTGCTCATCAGAAAAAAAATCAATCTGAATTTTTTCTCTGTGGTATCTAGGTAGATACACTCAAACATGCTCTCCCATTGATTGGGCCTTCAGAAACTGCATTGAAGGCATAATGTGTCAGATTAACCACTGACTTAATTCAGGAACTAACAACCAATCCTGTCTTGATTTTCAAAAAGTGGGAGCGATTTCGAGAAAAAAAGCATCACTCTGACATCTCACTGACTGTGAGAACGAGTGGAAGCCTGACCAATACACTTCAGTCAGATGTTAGAAATGGAAAACACACACACACACACACACACACACGCATCCTTCTGGGTCGTAGGGGGAACTGGAGCCTCAAATAAAACATGGAATGTCTTTTACAAGCTTCGAATATCTGGAGCAGCCAAAAATATTCATGTGAAGCATCGTTAGCTTAGTGCTAATGTATTTCTACAGTCCCATATGGGTGCTAGCAGAAATTCTAAATAGAAGGTATGTATCTTTGGTCAGAGTAAAAAATGCCCAGATGCCCTAGACTGAAATGAGCTGTTTTCCCTTTTTTGAACATTATTACATATTTCAATTAGCTCTGCTCTGATTTGCTGGTTTACAGTGAGGCACCACGATGGCTCACACAGAAGTAACATGTCGAAATAGACAGGCAGGAAAATAAAATAAACCCCTATGTAAATTAGCTAGATCGTCATACTATTCAGTTAGCTATGCTAGTTACTTGGAACTTGCTAGTAGCAAGTTAAAGTAATTTAAAGTTGTTAGCTCACTATGAAACTTTAAATGTAAGATGATTTGGCTTCAACCAGTAAAAAGTGGATAAAATCACACAGCAATCATGGCTGCAACTTACAGGTTGCTGTTGGGGTTGTGATGCTAATAAAGTTGGACCTGCCCCATTCTTTCAGTTTCAAATGCTGAGTGAAGCCTTCTTGATTTTATCCAAGGTTTGAATTAAAGTTGTCCTGAAGTTGTCTTCCTGGTTGCCAGCTTGTTTTGTGAATTTTGTGGAACGGAACAATAAATTAAGAAACTGGTAAATAGGAAGCCAACTTCAGCCTTGATTAAAGATTAACATCAACCATGCCCTTTGACAGTTCAGCTCTTTGGGAAGGGTATGAAAAGTGCAGACAACCCTGTCAGTCTGGAAAGGTACATTTCTGCACATAGTTTCTTTTCATTTGATGCTCTGTTGTTGTTTCCTGCTGGGCTTAAAGGTGTATGTAAATTTTGGGTGTATGAATATTAATGAGTCAATTCTGTTACGCTAACAGTTTAGTATTTTGGAATTAGCCCGTTTTACCACCCTCTTTCACAAATGTAGGATTTGCATTTGAAGGAGGCGACAACAGTGTGTGAGGTTTGCAGTATGTCAGTTGCATGTACCAAACTCTCCCTATTCAACTATGCCAATGTAAATACAGTTTTCCATTCTATGGCACCTTTAAGACCTAACTCCAATAGTCATGGTCAAGTCAAGACCAAGATAAGTGGCCAAGTATGAGTGTGTGTGTGAGTGGCCAAGATACCAGATACCAGATTAAGATTTTTTTAGAATATAAAAATAAAGAGAGAAAACTTAAATTTGTTTGTAGTTATTGTAAATTTAATAAATTACATTCAATACACATGATAAACATTAATAAATAATATTAGATTTTATATTTTATAAAACATAAAATTCAATAATATAATAATAACATTAATACTGCAAAAATAAAGCAGGGGGCTCAAATTCCAATTTGGGTTCCGCTAGCCAAGTGGTCTTCTCCAAGAGGGGCTGTAGGAAAAATGTATGAAAAAGTGTCTAGTATTTTTCGCTAGTATACTACATATATGCACTCATTTAAGTGCATCTTATTAAATGCTTAGCGAGTCTTCTGTCACCACAAACCACTACTATACTATTGATGATGATGATGACGATGATGATGATGATGATGATTATTATTATTATTGTTATTATTGTTATTGTTGTAGTAGCAGTAGTACATGTATATTTAGGTATAGAATTGTATGGGACCCTTATTATGACAGCATTGGAATTTCTGCTGAATGCAAGTGAAGTTTTTGTGAGTGAAGTGCTGAGATTGGACAGTAGTAACTTCTGCATTCTCAGTGGATTCGTTTAAAAATTCTGTTCATTTCATAATTCTGACATGCTGTATCTATCGATGTGTCACGAATGAATCGGGCGCATGTCAGGCCCAGTACTGTGAGGCCCCTGATGTAGATAAAGAACTATTTTTATTAATTACCTCAGATGGAGGCATCACACTCACCTGGTCTCGAGAACAATTTCCAAGTACACTTTACCCAGAGATCGAGACAAGACCGAATCCAAATGATGTCACGACCGAGACAGTTAATTTAGTGACACTAATTACAAGAGTGCAAAAACACAAGAAACTGACACATTGCTATGTTAACCTAGTTGTAAAGTGTGGGCTTAAAGACCAAAGCTGGTAGGACACTGACCCCTACCTCGCTGCATCCCACAACAGCAAAGTCAGAAAGGTCAGTCTGATTCTTATTCCCTGAAGTGCCATTGGTTGCTAGGCAACAGTCTGTCTGGTCTGGAGGTGTAAAAAGCAGTTTGCACATTAACGGCACTTGAGCCTCAAGGTCGCAACCCCTGTGTCTGACCGGAGCTGAACGTGAGCCTCTTTCAGCACCACCTGTGTCCCCACACTGAATAAACAAACACACACAAGCTATGCACGGAAATAATCTCTGCATGCCCTCTAGACTCAAATCATACAAAATCAATAGACATGTTTTATTGGTCAGTGTTTGCATTGTGAAGATTTATTAGCTGGTTTTTGTTTGCTTACATTTAACAACATCTATTTCAAAAGCTCATTAAGTTAGGATGAGCACTAAGCTTCTATGTTACAATGCATATGTATCATATCATGTGTTTATGTTTCCAGTACCCGTTATCTCAAAAGAGTTACTAGAAGAGACTCCAACTGTGTGCAAGAGCCCATCAAATAAAGGAGACTCCATATGGGCTTTTATAGTCACGCTCTTAATTAACAAGGTGTATCCATTGAGAACAACCTCTGATTAATGAGAATCTGGTGGATGAGCGAGGGTCCTAGGCCCCACAGCAGGTAACATGTTGTAGCACCCCTGGAGCTAGTGTGGTACCTACAGCCTTCTGGTCACCAAATTTCCTTCCCTGCTGTAACTGGGCCTGGAGCCAGGGACGCCCTGATCATTAACCTGTAGCTCTAACATCAGCCATCTGCTGCCCCAAGTGCTGAGATGACCTACACAGTGATAGACCTTTTCAGATTGATAACCGCAGCTCTCGAGGCATTCTGTAGGAGTTTACGGACATTCGGAAAACACAAGCAAAGAGTTGCCTCCCAAACTATCTTACTCCCTTAGACTACTACATTACTTCAGTTGAGAGTTATTACCTCAATTTTGTTATACAAAAGTATGTTTTATATTTAATTACATTGAGATAAGTGGCCAGTTTTTATGCTTATTAACGTGTTAAATTAACCATTTTCAAATTTCTACTTGTGGATACCCTATATTTACAGTTACTATCCAAAAACGTAGTTTGCAATGTTTACAGTATGAAAAAATAATAAAACAACAAAAAATACTTTTTACTATATTTATTTATTTGTATCTGATGTGTAATCTAATAGTGTTTTACCTGTAAACACTTACATACACTTCTACAATGTTCTCCTCTATTCACACTGATACATTTGGCTCATCTGTTTTCAAACATTTAGAAAAAGAACTGATGAAACAAAATTCATTTTGTGAATTTTGACACGAATGTAACCTAAAATATGATCAGATCTTTATTTAATTCATAACAGTAGTAATGTTGGTGGGCATTCTTGCATGAACACCACACCTTAGATTCTGCCACAACCTTGTTTTTTGGATTACTGGACTTCCAAATTGCAATGTTTCATGGATGCCCTAACATTCTTCTGTAGAATTTCTTATTTCAACCCAGAATTCATAGCTCTATCAAATGATCGCTAGATGTCCTGGACAATAGCATCAAAACAGCCCCAAATCATGATACTGCCACCACCATGTTTCAAAGCGAGGATGAGGTTTTTATGCTGGAATGCAGTGTTCAGTCTTTGCCGAATGTAACATTTCTCATTTAAACCATAAAAAAATTGCCTTATCCATCCACATAACAACATTTCAGTAGTATTCATACTCGTCTAGGTGGTCTTTAGGACAGCAATGTTTCTCCTGGAGCGTAGTAGCTTTCTCCATGCCGTCATTCCATGCATCTTATTCTTGTTCAGTGTTTGCCTGATTGTGGACTTGTGAACACTAACATTAGCCAGTGTAAGAGAGAGAGAGCCTGCAGATCCTTAGATTTTACCCTAGGGTTTTTTGTGATCTCCCAGAATATTCTACATCTTACTTTCGGAGTCGTTTTTGTTGGATGACCATTCCTGGAAAGGGTAACAATGGTATTGAATTCCCTCTATTTGTACACTATCTGCTTGACAGTGGATCAATAAAGTCCAAACTTGTCAGAAATACGTTTGGAAACTCGTCCAGCCTAATGAGCACTGGGAAATTACTTTCTGAGGTCCTCAGAAATCTCAGTTGACTGAGACATGGCATGCAATGACCGATGTGTGTGGTAAAGACCATACTGAAGGCTCAGGTTGACATTTCTTAAATCGGGTGGGGTCAGCCATGCTCACACCTGATTGTCATCCAATTGATGGAACCTCCTGACCCTAATTACCCCCTAAACCAAACTGAAAATTCTGGAGGTTTACATACTTTTACCAACAAAGACATTTAGTATTGGACCACTTTGTTAAATAAATGGAGGAAAAACTATATAATTGTTGGCGTTATTTGTTTTATTGGGTTCTCTTTATCTATTTTTTAAAAGCAAGTTAAATCAAGATCTCATCATATTTAAAGTCACATTTGTGTAGAAATTCACAAAATTATAAGGGGTTCACAAACTTTCAAGCAGCACTGTAAGAACATGCTGGTGTTTGTTGAATCTGTAATCTGGCCTTTAGAGGGGGCAGGAATGTCATTCCGGATCATTCCGGAGGGAGAGTTTAAAAGCCTTGGCTTTCAATTAAAGCCCCCCAGTCGATAAGACCATGCACGGGTTGGTTGGCACACAGAGGGCAGCCAAATCCCCGCCACCTGTTCCGACAGCCACCCTGACTCATAACAGCCCACTGCCTCCTTTGGAGCTGTGCCGGCAGAGGCCCACTGACCTTTCCAGCGCACTTCCTCCGTGCCTCTTAATCAAATCGCAGCTTCATTGTTTGTCAGGAAACGGAGAGGAAGCTGGGCAAGGGTTTCTTTGAACGTCGCATAGCGCTGACGCCACAGAGCCTCTGTTACCGTGGCAGCAGCCGCAGCAGGAGCAGGAGAGCATTGATTAAGAGTGTTTAATGAGGAGAGACGCGAGTCAGAGCTGTGTGTTGGAGTCGTCGAGAGAGTGATGCTTTTATTAGGAGGATGCCTGATCCCTCAGCTCATAACAAACCCTCCTCTAATTGAGACGAGAGGAGGAAGCGGAGAAAAAAAAAAAGATTGCGATGAATCATAGGGCACATGCAAAGACACATGGTTGCAACACCAGGAAAATGAAAATGAAAAAATGAAAAAGCAACATTAATTGATCAGACATCTGCGCATGAACGTATTTACCTCCGTACACAAATTTAGCTGCAATATGTAGGCTCAGCTGGTTGAAAGATAGGACATATTGCCATCATCCAGGCTGCCATCCACTTCGGGAATGAGCTTGGATAGACCTCAGACAACACAAGAGTGGCAGCCCTTGAGCAATGCAGGCAGGAGAAATAAGGGGAGGAGAGGGGATAGGGAGTGCTAGTTTTTAATAAAGGTATTCTGGACAGTGAAGTGTCGAGAAACAAGATACTTTATTCTTTAACTTCAAGGCCTAGATGCAACACTGACTGAGAATACAAGCGGCAGCCCAAGCAATAGGTTTCAGTCTGGTCTTAGGGAATGGAGAATAGTGCACTGAAAGTCACTATAGAACTTCTACATACAGGGTAAAATATACAGTATTATGTAAAAAGACAGAGACCTTTTCGATTATTTCATTTCCAGTCTAAATTAAGTAATTAAGTACAAGTTTTTCATTTTTTTGAGTCAGAAAAAAATAAGACGATTTAATTTGTCTATCATTTTGTCCACCTTGCTGCCACTTTAATTCTTCCATCCACAGGTGTAATTTTCAGATGAATGGGTGGAAGCTAGAGTATTGCCTTGAGTAATGTGCCTTTCAAAGTATTTAGCACAGATTTTGACACATTAGTGTATAAAAAAGATGTTTAATGCAAAGTGGTTGGTGTGCAGTAGCCTACAGCACAAGACTTGTGTAGACGGTACATATTAGTTCATCTAAGGCTAAGACTAACATTATCTTGCATTATCTTACATTAACATTATCTGTGGTTGTGGTAGCTAGTGCTAATAGTTGAAATCAAAGTGGTTTTACATCTAGCTGACCTGACCATCTGTAATACTTTTTCCTCAGTTGTCCCGTTCATAGAACGATCAGAAGAGGCACAAATGACAAGATATTGCGTTTTGTTTTGGGGGCACAGTAAGTATTGTTAGTTTCTTAAAATTATTGTAGCATTCTGCTACTGACCATGAGTGGCTCTGGAGGTGTGGCTATGCAGATGGCCATGCAAAAGCCTCATGGAAGGTGCATGAACCCCATAAAAGGGACTTAAATGTTGTTTAAATGTCATTGTTTGTTAATGTGAAGATGTGTGTTTTTTGTGTTATTCTGTGTTGTGTGTGTGTTCTGTGTTGTGTTATTCTGGGTGTTTTGTCTTGGGGTAGCTCACTATGGGGTGGAATCTAATGGTTAGTGGTGTGGGTTCAGTGCTTTGTGTGTAGCTTTTCTGCTAGTGTTTAATAAAAGAGCACTACTCGCAGCTGAATCATTCCCTTATCTGTATCTTACTCTGCACTGACTCCACAGTGGTGTCAGAAGTGGGATATTCCGGTCCCAGTGGTCTGGAAAAGAACAATGCTTTAAAGAACCATGAAAGAGGCAGAGCCTGGTAAAAGACTGTGATGGCAGGGACAACACTGCGAAACTCCATGGGGAAGATGGCATGGCAAGGCACAACATCACCGCAAGCCTGGGTCAGCAGGTAAACAGATTCCTGCTGGGAGCTTCAGCAACAGCCGCAGGCTGTGGGTTGAGTGCTGTGCGGATGGGACACAGCTCATCACACTCGCCATCATGGGTTTGCTGATATCCCTACTGCGACCAGACGTGCTCACGCACACCAAGAGGGACACATCAAATGGCAGGAAATTGACCATCATCCAGCTAAAGTCAGTCACCAGCAAAACCACCAGTAAATGTCATTGTATGTTAGTGTAAAGATGTGTTGTGTGTTATTTGTGTTATTCTTTGGTGGTGGGTGTTTTGTGTTGGGGACTGGTCACCATGGGACGGTGACATGGGGCGAGAATAGCTATATTTTGTTAGAGCACGCTTTGGTCCTCATGATGCTTTGCTCATGCTTTGATGGGCTGTATTTAATTCTTAAAACAGTATTTAACGGCTTTTTGTGGCATTTTCAAGTATGTGATTTGAATGCTTACAGATTATGTAAGCAGTTCAGGTAGGTGCTGTGCTTGGGAGTGTACCAGGACCCAGGTTTGGGTCCTGATTTATAACACCTGGTGGGATTTTATAGACTGCGAGAGGTGGGTGCTAGAGGTTTAAAGAGCATAATTCCTTCCTCCTTCCTGGCTAGTCAGTTCTAAATAAGAGAAGGGTCTGACCGCAGAGCTGCAGATTTACACCTGCAGTTTCAGGCCAGTGGAATGCATGCACAGTAGGACAGCACGATTGTGCCATGTAAACAAAGTCCTTATAGGAAAATTGAGTGTTATGAGCGTTTCATTCATATTTCAACCAGTGGCCAGTCTCCTCATTTATAATGTCTCTGATGTAAACAGCAACTGTTTGTGCTGGTTGTATGTGTCGGTATGCATACTACCATTCAGGAAGGGATACCCTTGCCAATGTACCAGTTAATCATAATCCACAAACACATTTCAAAACTGTCAGAAAGCAAAAGAAACACTTAATGGTTTCTATTTTCCAGCAGGGATATGTCCAAAAACTAAAGTTAGTTTTAGCCTAAAGCTTAATTATCCGTTTAACCCTGCTTAAGGTAAAGTTTTATTTCTGCACATGTAATGTAAGTGTACACATAAAGCCCCCGTATTAAGGGTAAGTTAATGGAGCTAGCCATATGTCTACATAAGCCAATAGTTTACCCAGACCACATCAGCTGTAGTTTGTGTAATATTTACCCTGTGAATCTCTATACGTGTTCAAACCAAAGTTTGTTTTAGCCTAAAGCTTAAAATATGACGTTGCCCAAGGCAAATTTATCACAAATTTATTGGAAACCCACATAAAACGACTGAAATGTTGATTAGCCGAAAATTTGCTAAGAAAAACCAAAAGAAGTGTTGGCCCATGCGCTGAACGCCACTGGCTTGAACCTGCTGGAGTGAAACTGCTGGCGTGAAACTGCTGGCATGAAACTGTGGCTCTGCAGACAGATATTATTGCTAAATTAAGCTGTTCTATGTGCATGAATTCCAAGTTGTCTGTCCTTCTTCTCTGTTCCCTCCACCCTACAATATCACAGGCTGTGAGTGAGGCAGGGATGCTTAGAAACACATTGTAAGTGTCTGCTCTTTACCCTCATTTTTTACTTCTATTATGTAGTGTTCATATACATGAGGGTTTTCTTTAACTATATTTTACCAAATTTTAAAGTTATTCCATTTCCAGGTTGGAATACTTGCCGTGAGATCAGATCTCTAAATCTATTTAATAGCTATTGTGATTTCTTTCCTGAGGAAAAGTTGCACTACAACACTGAAAACTGAACTTTAGAGCTATGGAAAAATATCCCTGGAGATTTCTTTGAAAAATTGAAATGAAGTGTCCTGAAAAGAATGGAGGCTGTATTAAAGGTAAGGGGCGAGGCTGAAAAATGTGATATTAGACTTAGTGTTGGAGTTAAACTATATAAAAAGTCCACACATTGGTCCCCTTGTTATCTCAGCATTTTTCAGCACTCAGAGCCTGTATAAACAACCTTTGGACATGAAAAGTTTCAATTTGTGCTTGTAACTATAGTTTGGAAAAGTGTTCAAAACAAAACACTGTCAAATTATTTAGTAAAATAAATACCTGAAAAAAACCCAAAGCATTATTAAATAGTTTTTCATATCAAGAAAAAGGTGTAATGCAGTACATTTATTATTTTGTGTTAAAACTCTGTTCACTTAAAATGTAGTACTTGCGTACACAATGTGTATCAAAAGTTTGAGGACACCTAGCTTAACACCTAGGTTTTTTAGCTATTTTTCAAATTAATATAAATGTTTTCTTTGTCAGGTTGCAATGACTTAACATGTTAACAACTTACATGTTTGTGATATGCAAATATTGGTGAGACCATTACCTTGACATTAGTGACAAAGTCCTAATGTTTATCCTCTTGTGATGATGTCAGCATTCAAGCCTTTCAGTTGTTTAAACAACCTTTGGGCCAAAAGAGTTTCAAAACGTGTGTTTAGGACAGTTTGGAAAAAAAAAAGGTCAAATCATTATGTAAGCAAGCAGTGTTGGACAAAATACTTTAAAAAGGCAGTGATGGCTAAAAAACTGAATACATTGTCCTAAATGTATTCAGAAAAGTATTCCATAATAATGCATAAAAAGTAATATATTTAGAATACATCTAAATGAGTGACAAGGGAATTTTTTACACACTATTCTTCACTGTTACTGGTTGGCAGGTTTTTTTGTGTTCTTATTCTGTTAATATGCTTAATGTTTGATCGCTTATTCAATTTTAAATAAAATTACAAAATTCTCAACTTTTTTTCTCACTGCCTGCTTCAGTCCACTGCTGCTCACACACTCCCCTGAGCAGTAGGTCAGTACAACAACAATGCAAAACTTAGCACTCGCAAACATGTCCACTACTGAGGAGATTATTAGTTTGCTCATTCCTCCAAAGATCTCAGTAATGCTGAGGTAAGTAACTGGCTCATCATGATTTATCAGTCTACTCAGGTTTAGCAGGAATTTCAGTGCTTGTAAAGAAAGTGTTTTATCTAATGAGCATAGTAAATGCCAACTACTGATTTAAAAATAGTTAACAAGCAAGCATTGGTTTTTTTTGAGTATTGTATTTTTTTTTTTTTTTTAATTTAGTGGGTAAGTATTCTAAAAGTCTTCTCCTAAAATGTAAGAAGTAACTGTATTCAGAATTCTGCTTTTACAAAATGTAACTTGGACTGAATACAGATATTAATTTCTGTATTCTGAATGTGTTCTCAATACTTGTTTTCCATTACATCCCAGCCCTAAGTACTACGTCATTTGTAACCCGCAACTCATTCGAACAGCTGAAAGCATCTCATCGTCAAACAAATCAAAATGCAGATAACGCATCACATTGAACATCACTTCAGCTGATGGTTACACTGAATCACTGGACACGAAAATAAAACAGAGCAAGGTGAAAAAGAGACTGGTAATTGATTTTTGGTGGCGTTATCATGATATGCATAGCTACATTAGTTTTCTCCTCTCTTGGCCCCTAATTTTACACAGAGAACAGATTTATGATGAAAATTATAACAGGTGAGGATCCCAGGATTCACTCCTCAATAAACATTTTGTGCTACTAGAACAGGATGGGTGAGACATCAAGTAGGCTATATCCATAATCACTAGTTAAACATTAATTTTCATAGGCTTAAAATATACAATGCAAATAAGAAACTCAAATATATAGTAAATAACCCTAACTAGACAAACAACAGATGTTTAGATGCATAGAAAAAAATGACAGCAGGAAAAAATATCCGAAGATGATATAAATGCTGCAAATATATGAATTACACCTTGTGTATGACTTCATACAACTTCGAACAATATGGTGTATCAAACATATGAGCTGCTAATTTGGTTACCCAGTGGAGTAATCAAATGTGTTGCATGCAACATTGTTTTTGAATTGCTTCAAGTAACTGTCAAACTGCATGGATATTACATTGCAGACAACTCTTAACATGCAACCAGTTGCATGACGGTTTCACCATGTAAAGCCCACCTAAGTAAACTGATCATTTTGGGTGCATGTTGTGATCACATTAATACACATTTTGTGCTGTGTCTGTGCTTGCATGTGTTGAGTGTTGCAAAATACCTATTGCTATACCTATAACTGTGAAAAAAAGTGTAAAGTGCCTTCAAACTTTTGCTGGCCATGAGTCAGATGGCTCAGGATGATTATAAAGTATATGACACACATATAAGCTTTAGCACATGATCTAAAACATCTCAGCAGGTTGTGTAGCAGTGGCTGCGCTGGCCAGCACGTGGAGGCTCCTGTACAGGCCGATAAAGATAAAGGTGATTAACTGTGCCGGTGGGGGAGCGTGAGGCAGGCGCTGGGGAGCAGCCTTAATTACTTTCCTTCATCAGATGCTGTTGAATGACTTACCTGAGAGAAAAGCTAATTGGCACGATGTATCGGTAAACAAAGAGCAAATTACAGGCGAGCCGAGCACCATCTGATCCTCCATGATAAGAGTATAGCCTGAACGTGAGGCTCTTTCTGCTCTTTTCAAAACTCCCTCAATACCAGCTCGAGCGGCTATATCGTATTATTCAGCTCTTTGAAATGACGACTGAAGTGGAATCAGTCGAGGATCTTAATCAAAGTTATTTGTTGTTTTTATATTCAAAGAGCCAAAAACAACTTTGAGTTGACTATAGAGGGCACAGCAGCGGTTCAGCAGGTTTAATCTTCCATCAGACAGGCTTTCTTCTTAATCAATTTAGCATGTCTTACATATAAGAAAAAGACTTAAGCCAAAAGGCTTTTCTCTCTAGTCACTCATCCAAACTTTTAGGAGTTCACAAGAGAGTGTTTGTAGGTGTTGTGTTCTGAACAAAGACATTGTGCTCGTTGCTGATAAGGTGGATTCTGCCATTATTGGACTTCAGGCAATATAAGATACTTTAAGAGCACTTTGGTTTGTTTTGTGATCTGAATTGATAATTATAAAACAGATAGTTTCAGGTTTAAAGTGTGGCTGAGAACTGAGAACTGAACTTATCCCACAGGAGAGGTTATATGTAATCATGGCTGTAACAAGCATGAGGATACAGAAGTCCTCAGTAGTTTCACAAAGCCTTCATGAAATCCAATGTGGAAAAAGTGATGAGGTACCCAATCAGCATTGACTAGTTCAAAGCTGACCTCAGAACAGCTGGGGAGTGGCCACACTCTCAGAAATAAAGGTACAAAACTGTCACGGTCACTAGGGTGGTACTCTCAAGGGTACATCTCAGTACCTTTAGTCAGGGAACATTACTGTATCACAATCCATTGAAATTATATTGTCTAAGTTGTATTGACTCCACACACCCCGTCTCGTCTCCAGGCTTTTTATTTTATTGTTCTGTTTTGAAACATGAAGTTATGAAAAGGTACGAATATTAACTTTTCACCTGGAAAACCTTATTTATGGTACACAACTGGACCTTAAAACCACTGTTGTAACTTCAAAGAACCCTTTGCATGATTAAATTGTTCTTTGCATCTCAAAATGGTTCAT